TGAGCGCGGCGCAGCCGGTGGAAAAGGGGGTGGGGGTGGCTGCGAGCCCCCGCGGCCAGTGACGCCAGGAGCCCCCGATCCCTCAGCAAATCGCCCGCGGAATGGGCTTCCGGGTACCGCCTGGGCTCCACTCCCGGCCTGGAGGCAGGAACGGCGGTTCCCGCCCGGGTCTGTCTTCGCCCGGCCCGGCGCTCCACCCGGGGATGCGGGGAGCTGACAGCCGGCGTCACGCGTGGCCTGCCCCGGCGCGCCGCGCCCCCTTCTCCCCGTGTAGGTCTGCTGCGGTTGTCGCGGGGGGAGCAGACGGCGGGGAGCGCCCCGCGGTGCTGCGTGCGGGCTTCCCCTGCCTGGCCGAAGCGCGGGTGGGATGAGGGTGTATTTTATTTTTTGGCTTCGCTTACCTGTTGGCACGTACGCTGAACAGCGCAGCCTTGCTGGAGAAACGGCTCTGCTTACTTAAAAGTCTTTGACTACAAGTGTAGGTCATTCTGGTAAAATGTATTTGGTGGCTGCGTCTTAGTGTGTTTTCAGCCCCCAAAAGCAGAGAAGGGATAGCTGAAAGATACGTTAGGCGTTTTGCCGAGTATCTGGTTTTCTTTCCCAGTGTATATAACCATCATGTGACTGGGGAATTCGTGGAGCTGAAATACAGCTCTGTAAAGTGTATTGATGTATGAGTTCACTATTTCTGTACTCTTGATTTCTCTGTGCTGTGTTTTGATTTCAGTTAAGCGTGTATACTACCACACGGTCAAGTATTGGTGCTGAGAGTAATATAGATTTGGTTTTGAATGTGGAGGACTTTGATATTGAGTCCAAATTTGAAAGGTAGGTATCCAAACTGTGAGTTCTTTAAATCTGAAGTACATGTCCTAGTGAGTAGTTACACATATGGAAGTATGCATGCAGCAAGGTAGACTGTTCACAATAGTTGTGTTGAAAGAGTAGAGCTGCTGTTATTGCATTCTTTGTTTTGGGGTTAAAGCCATTTTTACATGCTGCACAGGCTTTGTTTTCATAAAGTCATAACTATATTTGCCATGTTAAGGTAGGAAAAACGTTAGTGGGATTTCAGCCTTAGAGTTGAGGATAAAGTGCTGCTGTTTCCTAGAACATTACATGAATTAAACATTGAAGTGCCTACCTTGATGGAAGTGGTGTGCTAAGTTCACCTGGTGCTGAGGAATAAGCTCTTAGACATACTGTTCTTACATTGAAAATCATCTCATAGTTGCAAAAAGCAAAGGCTGCAAAACAAGGCTATAATAGTAAATACAGAACATTTTGTTTTTCTCGTGTAGATTCTACAAATCCTGAATGTTGTCATATTATTCAGATTCCACTCTAAACATTCATCTCACTAGCTGTGCTAGATCAATAATGTATGTCTGATGTGCTAAACTTAAATATTGGTTAGTTTGGATCAGCATACTGTTTTCAGCCATATAGGCAAATGTTTTACAAAAGGGTGCTCTGCTTATAATAGTAAAAATTACTTTCCATTGTGAAAATCTAATCAAAGTGCATGGAAATACTTGAGACCGTAATAACATGTGTTGCCAGTCTACTAGCTATGTGGTGTTCTTAATAGCAATGGCTTTAAACCTGGAATAGAACCTGGAAGTCAAACTGTGTTCTGTTCTCTTGTGTTTTATGCTTTAAGTAGTTGCCTTATTCTTGACTCTCGTCACAATATCTCCCAGGTTCTTTTCCGTTGTCCGTTTTCTATAATGAAGAATGTGTTGGTCTGCAATTTAGGTCATATTAAACTTAATCTCTGACAGACTTGAAAATATAAGAGTTGTTTTACCGACACAGTCTGCTAAGCCACAGGAAATAGAGAAAAATAACCGAAGCGAATTTACAGGAATAAAGGAGGTGTTATGCAAGGTTGCGAGTAGGATGATTTCTTGGCTAACACAAGGGGACTGACTTCATGGTTTGGTGCTCTCAATCTAGAGTTCTGTGTTTGGCATGCCATAGCTGAGAAGATATTTTATTAATGCAAAGCACTTGGCAAAACTTGGTGCTTTGCTTTTTAAATGTGTTATCGTGTAGACAATCTGTGATACATACTCAGCACACAGAAGGCTGTTTTCTGTAAGTGCTGTGATAATTTTGGCCCTATGACCTATTGGCAGGGGGAAATGACAAAAGAACTGATGATGCAGTCCTGTGTTATCTAAGTTAATAAAGGATGAATTGGACAAAGGCTAAAGTATCTTAAGGTAATCGTAAAACTTTGGAAATAGAAATATTATGACATATACTGGGTTATGTAAATCGATCCCATCCAGCCACACAACTCATTAGGACATATTAGCCAGAACTAATTGTTGTGTGCCAGGCAACCCAAATGTCATCTTTTTTTTTTTTTTTTTTTTTTAGAACATTTTCAGTGATCCTTATCTGTAACAGCTAAATATTTCAACATGTTATGCCATCTCATAATGTATTTATTTTGTATTTTAGGACAGTGAATGTCTCTGTACCAAAGAAAACCCGAAATAATGGCACATTATATGCATATATATTTCTTCATCATGCTGGCATTTTGCCTTGGCATGATGGTAAGCAGGTGCATATAGTATGCCCTCTGACCACGTACATGGTCCCTAAACCAGAAGAGATTAATTTGCTCACGGGAGAATCAGCCACACAGGTAGGTGGTTTTTCCATCTATAGATGGAACAAATGCAAAAAATAATTTATTTTATAGACATCTGGTGTTACAGCTGCTGTGCTGGCATCTTTACACTGATGATGATGATGCTAGAAAAAAATACGATCAAAACCCCTCTTCCCAATTATCAGCTTTTACACTAATAGTAGACCACTCATTCCAGCAGAGGTGGAGCCCTCTATAATGCTGCCTGCTATTAATTAACATTAATTAATTCTTTAAGGACTCATTGCTTTTGGTAGAAATACTGTATGGTTCTGTAACAGCATGATGCTGCTTTCTATAGTGAATTGGATTCATGTGAAATAATATGCCTTGCTTTTATAAAACAGAGATATAAACTTGATTTTGACATTGGTGAGTGACCAGTGTCAAATTGCTGCTTTTCCTTTAGGATGTTCTTGCTTTCGATGTCAATTCAAAAGAATAAAACAGTATCCTTTGGCAAATGCCATGATTACTTACCAGGGTGGGAAAAAATGTACTGTTATTTAATGCAATACTTGTGAACGGCTGTTGTGCCTCATATTAAATAGAGCCTGAGAATTTCACTCTGTTCTTCTTTGGAATCTGAAACATACTTGTAACCAGCATTGCTGTGTCTAAATCCCGTCAGAATAAAGTTGAAAATGAGTTGAGTCCAACACTAAAAGTCAGAGGAGGTGGTGTTCATCCAAAGAAAAGCAAGCAGAATGCCCTGGGAATAAGCATTTACTGGAAGCTAAGGTTGTACTTGGTTTTAGCACTACTTTACACAGCATTTGGGAGCTCAGAAGTCCAAAACAAATGCTCTGATCTTTTTACTCACCAAAATTAATATGGTTGATCATGCACATCCTTTTGACTGTTTTGAAGTAACATCTGATTACTCTACAATCCTTATTTCAAAGTGACTTTTTCTGACTAGTATCCATATTCCTAAGGTATTAAGATAATTAGCTGAATATTCATTCTTGAAGAACTAGGCTGTGAATGGGCACTAAAGTTTTTCAGTGTCAGATTACAATCATTCTTATTTGAGCAGAATATTTATCTGGTGAAAATTAAGGTAAAGTGTTTCTTAGTGGGCTTCTGTGTGAGTTAGAAAATTATCCTATTAAAAATTCTGTATTGCTTAGCAGTATGTATGTTTATTGTATTTTTAAAGCAAATTGAAGCAGAAAAACAGACCAGTGCTCTAGATGAACCCGTTTCTCACTGGAGGTCACGATTAACCTTAAACGTCATGGTGGAAGATTTTGTGTTTGATGGATCATCCCTCCCTGCTGATGTTCACCGTTACATGAAGATGTAAGTCAGAGTGTTAATCTTGCTAGATCTGTTATAATGAATTTACTGCATATTGCTTAAAAAATCTTCCCTGGCCTCCTTTAGTTTTTTATGTTTAAATTGGTGCTTAGGAGACAAGAATAGATGCTCTTAATGCCTCCATTTTGGTAGTGACAATTAGTAAGATACTACGTAATAGAAAACCTGGTTGGAGATACCTTGTTCCTGGGCAGCTCAGAGTTCAGAATACATTTTTGTAGAGAGTTACCATAGTACGACAAAGCAGAACTACAAAGACACAAGTAAAATGCTGCAGCAGACTTCATACCTCCTTGTTCTCAAATCATACTTCAGGCTTTTAAAGCAATTACTGTCCTTTGACCTTTACAGTTATCCTTCATCTGAAAATTATCTGTACAAACTGCAGATGCTGAAGAGGCACAGCTGATCTCCTGTGACATCTGTTTGCTTCCTTTATGATGGACTTTATTTTACCTTGACAACGTGTGTTCCTACATTATGTCATTTTCTCAAGAAAATACTGAAAAACAAGGATAGTTTTTTAGGCCACTAAATGCAGGCAGTAGCTTCTGTTCACAGCTTGCTTGAATTACTTCCAGTGTTAACTGTATAAATAGTACTGTATTGGCTTGTGCTGCTGTATGCTGATGCCTTTCTCTACAAGTATCCTGTTAAATCCAAAAGTAATTTACTTAATTAGGAGACCCCAGGATTCTGGGACAGCTTCCCAGCCAGAAAAGTTAAACTTAGTAACTCATGAGATAGGCCCATAACAAGAAGGGGTTGGACTGGGGTTGCTGAACGAGGATATTTTTTCTGGTCATGTTTAGATATGCATCAGTGCTGTTTGCATTATACAGGAAATAGTTTGGATATCAAGTAGCCTGCTGCAATTCCACTAGCAGTAGCTTTAACTGTAGTTATTATATAGAAATCTAAACTTCTTCAGTTAAGTAACCAAGCAGTATGTCTGAACCTTGATTTAGTACTTTTCTACATTATTGTTAACCATTGTATATTTAGTATGCAGTCTTTCTTTGCATGTGTAGACACTCTTTTGTCAACAAAATTGAAATTCAACTTTCAAGCTCTAAAAAGATCCATTATGCTAGTTCTGCAGACTTTTACCAAGAACATTACAGTGTAGATAACTGCCTTTCTAGTGAAGAACTTCAAGAATTTGTCTCTCTTGGGGCATTAGGCCAAATGCTTTTCTAAGATACTGACAGAGCAATTGCATGTAGGTTGTAATTTAAGTATCTTTTCAGTGGTCAGTTTTGTAGGGAGATCAAAGGCTGAAAAGTTTCTATTGGTTACATGCAGGTTGGTGAGGTGGTGGTGGAGCAATCCAAATGAGAACTTCTGTTGAGGAGAAGGCATAGAAGATTTCTGCAACTTGTGCACTCTCTCCTGTAGTATCTAGCCTTCCTGTGTGCATACCAGCCATCGTGTGCATAGTCCCATGCTAGCTAGAGCATGTGCTCTTGTTGACCTGGTAGATGTCATTGGGGGTGCAGAAGAGTGGGAGAGATGGTGGAGAGTTGCCATCATTGCTGTAGGAGAGGGATACTTGAGACAAAAGATACAAATATATGGTAGTAAACTTTAGCACATCTCTCTTCAACAAACTTTGAAATTTCCTCTACCCTTGGTCATGCAATAGCTTCAGCATCATCACAGCAAATTTAATTTGGGTTGGGTTTGTTTTGGGGTTGGGTTTTTTTTTGGTTATTCTGTTTTTCTACAGAAAAGTAAAAGCAAATTAAAAGGCAAAATATGATATACCTAATTTTTTTACACAGACATCTTTCAATGAAAGACTAAGCTAGTGGCTTGCTTTTTGCTGTGTGTTAAAAGAAAATGTGCCTGAAAAAATGGTGGGAAATATCTACATGGGTAGATTTGAAAGTGATGAATGAGTGATAATTTGAATAAAAGTAGTTCTCTTTTTAGATCACTACAGTCATAAAATCCATGTTTAAACATCCTAGGGTTCAGTTGGGGAAGACAGTGCATTACCTTCCAATATTATTTATTGATCAGCTAAGCAACAGAGTGAAAGATTTGATGGTGAGTAATAGAATACCTTTCATTACATTTAACAGTTTTAACAGTAATCTTCAATGTTGTTTTAATTAAGATTTTGTCATAGGTTGTTTTCTGTAATGAAAAAGTATAAATTCACAAAAGGTCTCTATGAATGTTTAACTTAATGTAGTCAGCAGTGGTAACTGCAGAGGCTGAATCTGGGTTTTGAGACTCCCCTCTGGCAGAAGTATCTGCCAAGCACTCCCTTCTATCCCACCAAAAGATATTTGGATTCCGTTGCTTCTGCCTTTTGGGTGGATATGGAGGACATCACTGCAGCAGCATCTGTGTTGGGAGCAGTCTCATGAGCAATTGACTCCCTAAGCTGAGGAATTTGTGTTAGCATCCCAGAGTGGCTTCTGATATCTTCAAGGGAAAAGAGCATGCAGAACACAGCTGATACTGGAGCTACACTGAGATAAGTCAGTTACATCCAAAAAATTGACTCATGGTTAAATTTTCTGGTGGTACTTTCTATCATGTTAGAATAACTTGAGCATCTGAAAGGCTGGTGTTGCAGTACATCCAATTATTTTATTCACTCAAATCAGGACTTAAAAACTTCAGTAATGGAATTACAGAAGGATGAGGTTGGATGAGATTTCTGGAGGTTGCTAGTCCAACACCCCTGCTCACAGTAAGGGCCGTTTAGAGTGGTTGCTCAGGCCCTTCTCCAGTTGGGTTTTGGGTATATCCAAAGGTGGAGATGCCATAGCATCTCTGGGCTACATGTTGTAGTGTTTAGTGACCCCTGCAGTTAAAAAACAAAACAAAAACCAACAACAATAACAAAATAAAAGGTTTTGGGGAATGTTTCAAAACTGTTAAATGAGTATGTCTGGATTCAGCATCTTCTAGATGGAAGTCTTGGTAGGTGTAAACTCTCCATAGACCTTCTAAATTGTCTTTCCAATTCATTAACTTTAGCTGAGACAAATAATTTTTTTAGTTAGTGTTGGGGAGAATCCTCTTTAAGAACTGGTATCCCCTCCACCCCAAGTTGTTCATCAAAATAAAGTCCTGAGCACTTGTTACAGATCTTGGTATAAGATAGTTTTGTCCAGTATTTCTTTAGATACACTTTTGTGATGAGTGTATCAGTGGTCATTGTCCTTTGTTTTAAGTTTTTTACCACAGCTCTTTCAGTTCAGTACATTCAGTCATGTCATTCAGCCTCTAATTCATGTCAAGTCACGTACTCTGTTTACAAATAAGCTCAGCATTCTCAAGTTATTAATAACATTCCTGCAGTTGTCATGCATGTCACAGTTAGAGCTATTGTAACTCACTGCCTTAGTCGTTAAAGATCCTGAGAAGTGCTGCAAAGACTACTCCAGCAAAATTAACATACTTCCCCTTCAGCACTGGCATATGTGATTTCTCAGTAGTGACTTGCCAAACTGCTCTCAAGCTCTGCAGAAAGAGTGGCCTAATAATGTGCATACTGTGAGATAATGGGGGGTAAGTGAAGAGCAGAAAAGAGTAAGGGAAGAAGTTGATACAGCTTTTGTGGAGCAAGGTCAGCATTTGACTGTAAATAAGGGGCATAGGCAGTCTGTTTGATGCGCCCAGCCAAAAGTCTTGGAGCTGAAGATGCTTTTCCCCTGCTTTTGCTAGGCTGTGTAGACTTTGAACTGACTATTATTTTGACTCAGATGTAGGTCTTCTATAGTAAGCACTGTTCTTGCCAGTACTGGGGGTTTGGGAATTGCACAGGATTCTGATTTATGGAATCATAGACTGGTTTGGGTTGGAAGGGACCTTAAAGATCATCTAGTTCCAACCCCCCTGCCATGGGCAGGGACATCTTCCACTAGACCGGACTGCTCAAAGCCCCGTCCAACCTGGACTGGAACACTTCCAGGGAGGGGGCAGCCACAACCTCTCTGGGCAACCTGTTCCAGTGCCTTACTACTCTCACAGGAAATAATTTCTTCCTCATATCTGATCTGAATCTACCCTCTTTCAGTTTAAAACCCTTACCCCCTGCCCTATCCCTACACTCCTGATAGAGAGTCCCTCCCCATCTCTCCTGTAGCCTCCTTTAAGTACTGGAAGGCTGCTATAAGGTCTCCCCAGATCCTTCTCTTCTCCAGGCTGAACAACCCCAACTCTCTCAGCCTGTCCTCACAGGGGAGGTGTTCCAACCCCCTGGTCATCTTCATGGCCTCCTCTGGACCCACTCAAGAAGGTCCACATCTTTCTTATGTTCAGCAACCCAGAGCTGAGCTCAGTACTGCAGATTGAGTCTCAGAAGAGCAGAGTAGATGGGGAGAATCCCCTCCCTTGACCTGCTGGCCACACTTCTCTTGATGCAGCCCGGGATACAGTTGGCTTTCTGGGCTGCAAGCACACATTTCTGGCTCATACTCAGTTTTTCATCAGCCAATACCCCCAAGTCCTTCTCTTCAGAGCTGCTCTCAACCCACTCTTTGCCCAGCCTGTATTTGTGCTTGGGATTGCCTCAGCCCATGTGCAGGCCCTTGCACGTGGCCTTGTTGAACTTCATGAGGTTTGCACGGGCCAACCTCTCAAGTCTGTCAAGGTCTCTGGGTGGCATCTCTTCCCTCCAGCGCATCAGCCTCACCACACAGCTGGGTGTCATTGGCAGACTTGTTGAGGATGCACTCAGTCCCACTGTCCATGTCACCAGCAAAGACTTTAAAACAGTGCTGGTCCCAACACCTGAGGAATGCCACTTATCACTGCTCTCCGCTTGGACATTGAGCCACTGACCACAACTTTTTAAGTGCGACCATCCAGCCAATTCCTTATCCGGAACCAAGTGTTCCATCTGTCAAATCCATGTCTCTCCAATTTAAGGGCATGGATGTCATGTGAGACAGTGTCACATGCTTTGCATATGTCCAGGTAGATGATGTCAGTTGCTTTTCCCTTGTCCACCAACACTGTAATCCCATTAGAGAAGGCTGCCAAACTTGTCAGGCACAATTTGCTCTTAGTGAAGCCATGTTGGCTGTCACAAATCACCTCCTGATTTTTGATGTGCCCTAGCATAGTTTCCAGGAGGAGGATCTGCCTCATGATCTGGCCAGGCACAGAGGTGAGACTGACTGCTGTTTCCCTGGGTCATCTTTTTTTCCTTTTTTAAAAATGGGGGCTATGTTTCCCTTTTTCCAGTCAGCAGGAACTTCATCAGTCTGCCATGACTTCTCAAATAAGATGGATAGTGGCTTAGCCACTTCATCTGCCAGTTCCTTCAGGACCTGCGGATGCATCTGATCAGGTCCCACGGACTTGTGCACCTTCAGATTCCTTAGATGGTCTCAAACCTTACCTTCTCCTACAGTGGGTGGTTCTTCATTCTCCCAGTACCTGCCTTTACCTTCTGCATCTTGTGTGTGTGGCTGGAGCACTTGTTGGTGAAGACTGAGGCAAAAAAGTCGTTGAGTACCTTAGCCTTTTCCATATCCCAGGTAACCAGGTCTCCTGTTTCCTTCTAGAGAGGGCCCACATTTTCTCTACTCTTCCTTTTATCACTGACATACCTGGAGAAGCTTTTCTTGTTGCCCTTGACATCCCTGGCCAGATTTAATTATATCACATCTTTTGACTTTCTAACCTGATCCCTGGATACTTGGACAGTTTCTCTATGTTCCTCCCAGGCTATCTGTCCTTGCTTCTACCATTTGTAGGCTTCTTTTTTGTGTTTGAGCTTGTCCAAGAGCTCCTTGTTCATCCATGCAAGCCTTGTGGCATTCTTAACTGTTTATTCTTACCTTACCTCTTACCCTCTTTGTTGGGATGTATCGCAGCTGAGCTTGGAGGAGGCAATCCTTGAATATTAAGCAGCTTTCTTGGGCCCCTCTTGCCTCCGGGGCTTTATCCCATGCTACTCTGCCAAGCAGATCCCTGAACTGGCCAAAGTCTGTTTTCCTGAAGTCCAGGGTAGCGAGCTTGCTGTGTGTCCTCCTCACTGCCCTAAGCATCTTGAACTCCTTTTCATGGTTACTGCAGCCAAGGTTTCCATTGATCTTTACGCTTTCCACCAGGCCCTCCTTGTTGGCAAGAACAAGGTCCAGCATAGCACCTCTCCTCATTGACTCCTCTGTCAGTTGGAGTGGGAAGTTATCATCAGCGCATTCCAAGAATCTCATGGATGGTTTATGCACTGCAGTTTTGTCCCTCCAACAGATATCTGGGTGGTTGAAGTCCCCCATGAGGACTAGGGCTTGTGAACATTTAACATATTTAATAAAGAGAAAACTTCAAAATTCATACAGCTGAACTTATTTGCTTTGTTTACTCACTGATATAGTAGATATCACTTTGATAAAGTAGAGTGCTAGCAGTAATATGTGATGTTCTGAGGCCGTACTACAAGAGTAGGTTTTATTGCAGAGGTTCGGTAGCTTCCTAGTTTTCAAAGTCTTAGCAATTATCACACTCAACTTGGTTATGAGGCAGCACTTGTGGACTTCTAATTGTTCATTGAGAAAGGATTCATTCTTCTAATCTTTATATCTTCATTTAATTTGCTTTTGGTGTTGAAGAATTCCTATCTGTCTTGTATTGCAATCCAATTCTCTCCCTACGCTACCCCTAACTCATTAGTAGTGTTTGTTGGTATGGAGTGCACTTGCTGCATGTTACTTACCCATGCATTTACAAAATACGTGTTGTGTGTCTGTCTTGCACAGGTAACATTTCTTTTCCTCCCAGAAATTTTGATGCTTTCTTTGATAGACTGAGAAATTGGAATTAGAATGGAAGAATTAGAAGAATCCTTTAAAAAAGGAGAAGCCTGGAGGATGTTTATGTAGCTGTTAGTTAACAGCTGTAGAATCTTGTCAGCATTCTCTACTGTCAGCTCTAACCATGTTGGTTTCACCCTGTTGGGTTTTTTTATATCTTTTTTCCAGATAGTTCAGAGATCCCTGGCACTCTTCTAGTTTCTCAAGCTTTTCTCCTTGCTGTATTTATAGAACTTTCTCAGCTTCTCTTCCTCTCCCTTGCATGCATGTTCTGCCACCATCTGAAAAGCTTATAGGGTCTTGGGAGGGTGGTGAGACAGACACTTGTTTGTACTCACTGGAGGAATGAGTGAATGGGAAGGATGAATGTAATTCCCAGTTCACACCTGACTGGTACTTGGGGAGGCTAAAACCATGTTTTGTAACATGAAGCCAAATCATCTCAGATAGGTGTCAGCTAACTAGTTACTGAACAGGTGCAGTGTAGAGTAGCAGTTCTGAGATGGGAATTATGATTGGGTAGTAATTAGGAGTGAGGAGCAATATATCTTGGAACTGTTGCAGAGTGCCTGCCTGTCTGTAGTCTTGAGCTATCCTTGCAAGCTTAAAACATACTGCCTGAACTTGTACCTAGGTAGCTGCAGAGAATTCTAACATCTATGAGAACAATTTGTTTTTCTTTGTTTTTAAGCCTGTTTGACAGTCAACTGTCATGCAGAAGAAGCTGAGGCAATTTAATACTTTTTACCCCCCACCCAGCTTAAGGGGGCCCCAGGTAGTTCTCATCATAATTGAAGTATGGATGATACATTAGAATTAGCTGAAATTTATTTTTCTTGGAGCAGGAAGAAGATTCCTGTGATACCCCATATTCCAAAGTTTGTAGACAGGGTGGCTTGCTTAGCTGTGGTATTTTCACCAGTCCGAGCAAGTAGCATTATCTTCCTTCCCTACTTTTTGGTTTTGGTATGAATTGTAACTTCAGTTTCTCTCGAAACCAGCCTCATTTTAGTAAAGTTCTGACTGTGGCCTTTGGGTTATAATTTTCTCTTTTTTTTTAATCTTCTAGTTTAGGTAATCTTAGCATACACAGTCAGAGAAGCACTGTCAAGAGAGAATAAGCACACTTTTCCCCCTTGAGCTGATACCAGCAGAGGGAACTTTATGTAAATGTCTCAGAGGCGTTTGTATACAGTAACAGTGAGGTTGCTTAAGAACTTCAACAAAACAAATGCCTACTTTAACATTTCTTTGAAAAAAAAAAAAAACCAACAAAGACTTCAAGCATATTATAGAAATCTAAGATTTTATTCCATTTCAAAAAACAAACTGACCTCCTAAAATTGTGTGATTAAATCATAGTGTGATATAATCACTTTATTTTTTTTTAAATAAATAATTGTTGCCATTTTTCTGCTATTAAAAATGAAACTATCTTTTTGAAATACAGGTTATAAATCGTTCAACAACAGAGCTACCTCTGACAGTGTCATATGACAAAATATCTCTTGGAAAACTCCGATTTTGGATCCACATGCAGGATGCTGTGTACTCCCTCCAACAATTTGGTATGTTTTTTGTCTTTAATGACTGTAGGCCAGAAAAACCCAACCAACCCCTCAGGTTTTTTTTCTTGTAAGTACATAGATAACGCTTAACTCTCTCTGTTTTCTGGTTAGCTAGTGAAAAGGTTTAATGCTACGAATCTCACTGTGTTTTACTTTAGGGTAATGATGGAAATAAAATGTTGACATGTGGGAGGAAACAAGAATACAAAAGTGAATTAACCATTTTTAAAATAAAGTTTATTTGGATAATACTACTCTAGAAGTATAAGAAGCCAAAATAGAGGAGAGAATTTTTGCCACAAGTTTCCCCTGTCATCCATGGAATAGAAAAGCTGCATCGGTGTTACATAATCTTTGATATAAGCTATATAGAGGTGGTCACTGTAGCCATATACCTACATTGAAATGTGCGCAGGCACAGCAAAGTCTTTGGGCTCAAGCTTAGCATGAAGAAGGAATCTGGGTTCTCATCATACTGCTTCTGACACTTCAGAACTGGCTGGCCTCTCACTTTGGCTCAGTTACAAATTTATAAGGTAACTCAGATAAAATGGAGGCTTTACATGTATGAAACTATTAAATTCTGTGTTTCACTTAAATGTAGTGGAGCAAGCATACACTTTCACTCTGAAGTTCATATGTTCTGTGTTGGTGATGGTATAGCCAAGCTTTTACTGTGTTTAAATGTCTGTTCCACTGATGCATACCTTCGTGAGTCTAATCATCACTCATAAAAATTGGCATCTTATTTTCAGGGTTGTCTTTGCCAACTTAGTTTTCTGTCACTAGAGTGTAGTTGGCTTCTTTATGCCAGACTAAGGAACTGCATAGTAACTGAACTGGTATTGATGTATATGAATCCTGATGCTCTGTTTTTAAGCTCTTCAGATAGCAATTTGAACTTTTTTCAGGCCAAGAGACCTTAAAATCTTCTGTGCCGTATCATTTTAATGATTCTTAAATCCTTCTCAGTTTATCTTTCTTTTTAATGTGGATAGATGCAGTATTCTACTAGTTTCCCAAAAGACACATGCAGGGGTAATGCTGCTTCCATACTACTCAGTGTTGTTCTTTGTTCACCAAAATTTAGTCAGTAAGAGGGAATGGATTTGGTTATTCACTGAATTAATATGTTATAATGGACAACTTAGCATTTAAAGCATTGGTTCCTCTGGGAAAAAAATCTGTTCTGGTTCAGCACTAGTTTCAGAGTGCAGTATTATAAGACACAGTACCTGTATACAGTGTAACTTATCCAAGAGTCTAGACTTTCTCCATTTCTTTTGCAGCCTAAGCTTTTCTCATGTTTTGTTGGGGGAGGGAAGGCAAGTAAGGAATAAGGTCATCCTTAGTAGAATCCAGCTGCTTCTCCTTAGCTCAGGCTAGCATATATCGAAGCTATAGGTATGTCTGCTTGAAATAACTGTCTTGAAAGAATCAAGTAACCATTCGCTCAGAGTTTGTGTGGAACATTTGACCACCAACATTTCTCCATAAATTTCTGTAAGCCTCCTCAGGATGACTTAACTGAAATTTTCATGTTTCATGTCTTGGCTGTCTTGTGATGGACACATATATCAAGACCTATCATCCTAGGAGTAGCTCCCTCTGCCTGGAAAAAAGGCTTGCCTAAGATGCTGCTTGTTCTCTATATGTATGTAGACAGTGAAACACAAGGTTTAAAATTTTCCTTTTGGAATAACTTATTAAAAGGTCACCTTAGATCAATGGCAAAACTCCAAAACCCCTTGAAAATGAGTAAGTTTGCGTTCTTCTTGCTGTGATGCAGGACAGCTAATATAACAAAGTAAGCTGGTACTGAACTCTCTGGTGTCTTAACTGGCATCATTGCCATAAATGCAGCATTGTGTGTTTCCTGAGAACAGGAGGCTTCAATCGCAGTGGCCGAAACTTTCTACTTTATGAAGAAAACATCTTAGTGCTGTCTGAAGAAATTCAAAGGGATGGTGTATCTTCTGGAAAGCATACTCCTTGATGCTGGCAACCATATTTATCATGGACAGGCTCTAACTTTTTTTGAATTAATGACTGAATTTTTTTGAATTAATATAAGAAGGCAGCAACATTCTTCCTTTAGGAGATCTGATAATACATTAGGGAATATGTATTCAGCTTAAGGATTGTGCTTTCTGGAATGTGCTTTGCCTTCTTCATTTGTCAAAGAGAAGCTTCCAAGTTAATTCTGCAATGATCATCAAAAGAGTTGATGCCTAATCCATTATCTATAATGGTCTATACTGTTGCGTATATGGCCATGTTTCTCATGACCTTTGTTGTCCTCTAAATTATAGTCTTTTTCTCATTTTTATTTTTTTAATATGAAGCTCATTTTTCTTATGTATCAAATAAAAGTTAGAGGCCAAGTTGAGTAATCCTTTTTCTTCCCACTCAGGTCAGAATGACTTCCTGTGTCTTGGTACTTATCTGTCAGGTGTTCAGCTTAGGTTGTAGTTACATGGCATGTTAGGCACATCAGTCTGCTTATAACTGATGGATTTAGTTTAAGGCAAGCCAAATAACTCCCCAAAATATAGGTAGATTTGGGTTTTACCAATAAAGCTGCCATCATGTTTTGGATTTGTGATTCCTTAACAAAACATGTGCAGGTGACATCAGATTCCTTTCATACCGGACTCTAGCATAACAGCAGTTAACTGTCTGGTGGTAGTTGCATAATTACTTGTTCTTTCTCTTAGGGTTTTCAGAAAAGGATGCAGATGAAGTAAAAGGAATTTTTGTTGATACTAACCTGTACTTTCTGGCTCTGACATTCTTCGTAGCAGCATTCCATGTAAGTGGAGAAACTTTGGTTTTTAGGAATTACAGATTATGAAATAAAAAAAGGCAGGGGGGCTGAATTTCAACTTATTTATTAAAATCCGTTATTGGAAATAGTAATTTCAGTAGAGCAGTTGAAGTGTTTTCTGGTGCAAGTCAGCTGTATTTGCAATACAGTGTTAATATGTAAATATCAAGATAGAAATTTGAGATAGCTAGATAAAAACGAACAGTATTGACTGAAATATAAAACATTTACCTTGATTATCAATTTTTTTTTAGTAGCAGTTGAACCAAAGTCCTTTAGAATTAATATACCTGTCAACATCGGTTCAAATTTTGTTCAGTTGTCACAAGATTTACCACTGCACTGGCGTAGCTGGGGCTCCAGTACTAGGGTTTGAGTCTCTGATTTCTAATCCCTGGAGAAATTTAGATCAGCTGATCTAAATTGCTTCAAAAAATTGTTACTGTACAGTTCAGAGCTTAGGGTTTCCAGTCATGGTTATTTGTTGTTGTGTCTCTGTCTTAGCATTGTGTGTGCCTTGTTTTAAACATGAATCTTTATTTTACTGGACAATTTTTTTTTTTAGACTTCATTGTTCTACTGTGAACATTTTTGTTATCTACAGTTACACTCAATACAATTCCCATATTCGGGGAAAGATAAGAACTTGCTGGGCATGTTATGCTTCTTTACACTTAACACTGCATACAATTAATTTGGTTGGAAAGTCTTAAGAGTTCCCAGCCATATTAATTTATTTTTTCCATTCTGTTTGCAGCTTGTAAGGTATCTGTAGAGTGAGACTAGCTCTTTTGATACTTTTTTTTATGTATCATTTGCTCAAATTTTAGAAAAAATACTTTTTCATTAAAATTCTCTGAGCCAAGAATTTCTTGAATCTGTGCTGCTTTTTCTTTTAAGATAGTGAATGCTTAAAGGAAATACTGAAAAATATGCTGAACGAAAATACTACAAAAAATAATCACTACAAATAAATTTAATGCTAAAATGTCCCTGAAGTATAGGTCAACTTCTTAGTGATGAAATAGAGGGGAAAGCTGACTTGCTGTATTGTAGGATTTTATTTAAAAGTTTTGGTACTGTCCAAGCCTAAATTGACTATCAATCCAATACAGAGCACTTCAAATCTAATTTAGTGTGATTTTCCCTGGTCTGTCAAGGAGGTCAATTTCTCAGGGTCCTCATTCTTCATCCTCAACCATGTTTTACCCTGTACTGGGTCACTAACTTTCTTTACAGGGTGCTGCATTGTGCAGCATTGTAGTAGTAGCAGTTTTGGGAATTTATCCTGTCATTTTGCACTGCTTTTAGAGCTTGGGCTTTTGAAACAGTTTTTCTTTTCAGCTTTTATTTGTTATACTGAATTTTTATTTCTGAAGCTTCTAAACCACGTTTTTCTTGAATTCCATGTTAAATGTGTTTTTGACAGTTCAGCTGGCAGTCTCTAATTAGTGCACGTCAAAAAAATGAGTTTGTTTCTTGCTATTTGCAGCTTCTCTTTGATTTCCTTGCATTCAAAAATGACATTAATTTTTGGAAGAAAAAAAGAAGCATGATTGGGACGTCTACAAAAGCAGGTATGGGCCAGAGTGCAAAGTGTTCTGTGTGTGCTGCATGTTTTCAGTCTTACTCTTAAGTTGACACTTTGTAGATTCACCAAGGTGGCAGAATGAGATGTTTTTGTGTATGAAAAGATGATGGCTAACAGGCTGGTTCTAACTTTGTTAGCCTTGTGCTCAAGTATCACTTGCTTTTAAGCAATCACGTCATTTCTGAGGTTTGACTGTCTTGCAATTGACAATTAGTTTAATATTAAGTCAGCTACCATATTTCCCTTGGTGAAGGAACAGAAGAATACTTTGGGAAAAGAATGAGGAACAGAAAAAATCCCATGGATGGAGAGAATGTGCTATCATGGATAATGCTGTCGTGCAGACCCCCTGCGTTCCTTGCAGATAGCTACAGCTTCCAAAATATTCGGAGGGGAAAATGCTGTAGTGTAGTGCTGTTGTTTGATTTGGGCTTTGATGTAAACAGGAGCAGTAGAAGCTCCTGGGGCAGGGAGTGGGGGAAGAACATGGGAGAGTTCCGTTGACTTGGATGTAGAAAAGGTGAGAAACATAATGGTCTGGCATCTATCTTGTCAAGCCTTAAAGACAGATGAAGGTAGTAGCCAGCCCTGGATGACCGGGGTTTAACATACCACTGTCCAGCCTTGTATATAGTGCTAATAGTTGCTGCTTGTTTTTCTAATAGATTTTTCCATTCTGATAATAAAACTATAAATCTGGAGTCACTTGTCCTCAGAGACTATCCCTGATTCTGTTATATTTACAGATTGATTAAAACATGTGAGGAATATCAATCCCAGGAAGAAAATTAAGTTTTCTAAATTACAGCAATTGTGAACAGCAACATGTTTTTCTCATGTGGAGAATCTGTTTATCAGAGTGCATTTGTTTTTGTAAGACATTTGTACTGCTGTTGGCATATATAAGCCGAAAAAGTAAAAATTCAAAATGCTTCATGGAATTTCAGAATTGAGTGTGTTAGTTTAAAGGTGAGTAAAGTCAAATTGAAAAGTCTGAGTGACCAAGGTTTTTTAACCTTACTGTAAAAGTATCGGTCTTCAGTCTCCAGTAATTGATGGTTCCATCATGTGTTTAGCAAGCCTTAGTCAGATTTATGCCTGTATCATCATCTTACCCTGAGGGAGGAGTGCAACAGGCAATTGTTCTGGAATGGTACAGTGTAATTGTTGATGTCTGAGTGTATTGTACCTCTTTTTTCTTTCTGTCCCTGCTTAAGAATTAGTTGGTAGGTGCTTATAAGCATCCAAGGTTTTGCAAAACCTGAAAAATAATACTAAAATATACTTTTTAACATTTACCAACATGAAATTAGTTGCATGACTTTTTAAAGACTGACATTACACTCCTTCACAGCCTTTCAGCTTTCTTGAGACAAGAATCACGAATGTAGTTCATAACAGTACTGATCCATTGCTGAATTGCTGCAGTACAGAAGTCTTCCTGAAATACTCTGATTTCCTTTCATCTTTTGTGATAAGGATTTCATAAAATGTTTTGTTCCTTATTTGCCAGGGGGTGTGTAGATCACTGACTGTTTCTAGGACTACTTGATATATCAAGGTGTATATAGGAGAAGTTCATGCTTAAACTCCACAAGACAGAATTATAGTAAATAGGCCAACAGTCTTCTGTCATCTCAGCTGTCCGTTTAAATATTAATAAGCTTTTTGTTTTCATTTTTTCTATCTAGTGCTTTGGCGGTGCTTTAGTACTGTGGTAATATTTCTCTTCCTTTTGGACGAACGAACAAGTTTGTTGGTGCTGATCCCAGCAGGCATTGGTGCAGTGATTGAGGTGAGTTCTTAAAGCTCTAGAAACAAATACTGATATTCACAGCAACATTCATACTTTATTGTAGAAAAAGAATGCTAAACTATTACTGGAAAAATACTGCTGTAGTATACTGTCTGAGCAGCATTGCTTAACTGGCTTTCAGTGGTAGAGGAGAGTGCGTCCCTTTATCAAATAACTGATCTGGAAGTATCATTTTTTTTCTGGGATGGGCCAGTTGGTGTTGTGGAAACCAAACAGAGCTATGCTGAGGTTTCTTCCCATCACAGCATCTGATAGATTACTCCTGACCAGGCATGTATAACCATGTCAACAAGCCTTCACAGAAATATTTGTCAGAGGAGGCTGTGTGCTGTCAGACAGCGTCGCAGGTCTGCAGCTTTCTCCCTGTCTGTGACAGAGTTGCTTGGGGAAGGAGGAAAAGGAGGAGACTGCTGGCTGTGTTTGTTATTCCAGAAGACCATGTCCAGTCATGGGTTGCAGGTACTGCTTAGAAGCCTGCTCTATGTGTAGTATAGCGCAAAGTCAGCAGTAGTGAGAAGGGGGAGATCTCTCTCCCTAGCATTGCTTGCATATCTGTTTACTTCTCAGTAATCTTTCAGTATTTGAAAATCAGTTCAGGATTCATACATGGAATTTTTGACTACACATGTGTTATAGTTGCAGATAATCCCTGTGGAAACAAAGCAGTTCAGAATTTTTAGTTAGTGATTAAGTTGTTGAATGCAAAGTCACAAAGCAATCCTTAAATTTCAGCTTATTGTATAAAACAGATTAAGCTCCTCTGAAAACTATTAACAGTGGCATCCTAAGTAGTGCTATTTCATTGACTGTAACATTTTTTTTCAGTAAATTGGGATTTTTAAATCTGATGTATTTCTGTGTGTCAGGTCTTCTCTATCAGATTTTCCAGTGGTTTTGTTCCTGTAAATAGCAATTTAGTCTTAAATTTCAAATTTTCTTTAGCTGTCTGAAATTTTAACTAAGTTTTGGGGATAAATATATACCCCTATAAATATGCTATTTCTTTTGTAGAATTTCTTTAATTTTGATCCTTGAAATCTAAGTAACTAAATTTTTTAAAATCTAAAGACTTCAGAAATTCAAAAGTGTGACATGATTTAAAAGTGAATCAGGTCAAGAAAAGTGATGGTTTTGGTTGTAGTGGGGAAGAAGAAATAGCCCTGGTCTCTAAATCACTTTTTTTTCAGAAGTATTAGTAGAAACGAGATCAGACATGTATGGTTGTAGAGTACAGGAACGATCAGCTAGGCTGCAGGATTTAAGTGGGATTAAAACTGTTAAGATTTTGCATTCCTCTTTTATAATGAAGATGGATTTCTTGGTTGCCACTACCTAAGAACAGGCAGATTCAGATCTCATTTGGTCACTGTGCCCGAGATTCTTCTTTGAGCTGCCCAATGATCTGTTAAATAGATCTCTCTGAGATCGGTAATTCCCATGACTGTCTCCTATAGTCTTTCTCATGTGCCTTATTTTCCAGTATGTTGGTTTTGGATTGCAGACTGGGGAAACTAGGTTAAAAGGATTATATAGGAATATTATGTGGGACATTTAAATTGAGGGAAATGTTCTGTAGGTTCTGTTGAAGTAATATATCTCTCCTCTCAAGTGATGGTGCAATAACATGGTTGTCTCAAGGTGAGAATGAGCATACAGACAATATATCTCAAAGGAATTTGTCTGCTGAGAAGACCTTTTTCACAACTTCTTCTTAACACCTGTTTCTCATGCAGTACTAATGTGATATTGCTTCTGTAATAAGTAATTTTCTCACTTGCCTCAAAGATGGCAGTAAAAGATTGTCTTTACCTTACTGCCCTTTTTTGTTGGGAGATACAATGGGTGAGAAGAGAATACTGGTGTCTCTAAACAAATAAACCTTGTCCACAAAAAGTTTCATGGAACGTAGCTCTCCTGGTGAGCTTGCTGCATTGCCTGAGTTGTTGAATCTGTATACCAGGGTGGGTACATGAGTAGATTTTCAGGTGAACAGAACCTTTGGTTACACTCGGGTCAAGCTGTTACAGCTTAAGTGCCCACTTAATCACTGTTAGGAGTTTGAAATATCATCATTGTGCAGACCCCAGCTGATCTCGAAGGCACATAAAAACTTGCTTGGTGGGTGGTTACTGGTTTATTTACTCTAAATGCCTGACCTGAGGTGCATGCTGGTGAAGAGAGCAGCTAGCTTCCACCACTGCACTGCAATCCAGATATCCTGAAAGTACAGCATTATTTTGTTGAAAGTACGTAAGTCTGATACGGAGGCTTAATAGCGCAGGCTCCCAGTGTCGTACTTGTCTGGTGACATGGCATTTGGTTTGTATAGAGATGCAGGCAGTGTGCTGCAGCCAGGCTCTTGCCACTTCATGCAATGCATGCTTAAAATAGATATTTTGGGGTCTTAATCCTGATTATCTGAATCCTACATAAAACATTCCTTTGGATAATCTTTTATGTGCACATTCTGTTTTTGCTAATCACAGCTCTGGAAGCTGAAGAAAGCTTTGAAAATGACAATCAAGTGGCAAGGCTTGAGACCCAGAATTCAGGTACAGTAGATGTTGGCTTGTTAATGATTACACTCTTGAATTGTCCATCTGTTTCCAGGTTACTATGCAACTTGGCTTTTAGTGAAATGAAGGTTAAAAAGAACTATAGAAATTTCCCAGGTACATCTTTTCTTTATGATTGGCTTAATCAAAAAGCTGGATGAGTATTTTCAGACTTAGGAATTTCTTTGAGTTCTGTAGAAGAAGCGGGTATTTGTATGTATGTATGGTGTGAGAAACTTCAGACTCCTCTATCAAGTCCTGCTAAATCCTGGCAGGTGAGACTGTGCTTCTGCCACTGAGCAGTTTTAACTGACATCGTAATTTGAAATAACAAACTGAATTTTTCATGAAGCTGTAGGTATAACTTCTTCATTGTGGAACTAGTAGATGACGTGACGGGAACAGGACAGTGTTTGACAAATACTCTGGGTAAAATTAAGTCCTGAGACTGTTTGCGGTACATGCAGTGGCAGCATGGAGTCAAATTAACCTTTTTTTTTTTTTTTTACGTGAGTATAATATTTTTAAAGTACAATCTCCATTGAAAGTTTCTCTGGTTGGTAGGAGGAACTCATCTTCAGTGTTTACTTCACAAGAAGCACTGGGGGGTTTGTGCTGCTTGAAGTCTATGCATCTTGAGTGGCTGATAGTTCTGGTTGTTTCTTTGTCAGTATTCGAGGAATTGTGCTTAAGCAGTCACAGTTTCTGGAGATGTGGAGATAATCCATAACTGACCTCTTCGTGCATGAAAATGGTTATGGTTTTTAATAATGACTTGCTGTATCTGCCAGATTCTTAGCCACTTGACTTTGTTTTAGCTTTGTGAACTCTGCTGTCTCAACAGCAGTTTCCTAAGCAAAGAAGTTCTGGATGTTTGATGTAAAATATGAAGGGAAAAATGAAACTTTTTGCCTACCCTGTATTTAGCAGGTTGCACAGGACGTTTGTATGACTCTCTTCTACAGAAGCTTATAGCAACTTGGAACTGTTACCTAGCTTAATGTCTAAGCAGTTTAGTTTGCAGTTTAGATTTCTGTTTAGGGAGTCAGACAGCAAGTGCTTTTCCTCCCAGTTCTGACTTGATACTTTGTATTGCAGTTTGGTACGTACAGTGACTCTGAAAAGAAAACTGAAGAGTATGATACCCAGGTAAGCGGGAATCCTGTGACTTCTGATCTATAAAAGTCTATATATGTGGCTTGCTGACTAACCTGGTTTGCTCTTTCTATTGCTACAAGTGTCTTTTCCATGTTCTCATATGATGATCTCAAGTGGATCATCATCATCATCATGTGGATGATCAGATAGTGAAGATTCATTTTGATAATTTATGAAAAGAAACAGTCAAAGAATTGTTTTGTTAGCTGAATCTGGTTGAAACATTTCTCTGAGAAGCAGAATTGTAGGTGACTTATCCGAAGAAAAGTATCTTAAAGGGTTACCATCCACAAATTTTAAAATTTATATCTGTACTCTGTATTTATACTGGAGAAATGTTTTGTGTGCTTCCTAATTTCTGAAAGGAGGTAGACATATGTGGCAGCATTGGTGTTAAGTGGAAAGCTACTCTTAGATTCTGCTCTTTGTGCTGCCTCTTGGTGCCTGTGCTCTAAGGTGCTTGGCTGTCCGAACTGAACATTGGAATTTTTACCACCTTCTCTAGAACTGGAATCATATTGGAAATAAGAGCAGATATTTGGGAATAGAAAAAGATATTCAGGGAAAAAATATCTGACTGTCTTCTAGTTAATGCCCTGAAAAGTTGGCTGTATATAAAATATGAACTAACAAACTATTTTCCTTGTCAATTAGGCTATGAAATACTTGTCATATTTGCTCTATCCACTGTGTATTGGAGGTGCGGGTTACTCCTTGCTGAATGTCAAATACAAAAGGTACCGTAAATATATAAATGATCTTATACGGAATTGAAACATTCCCCATTTTTTCTGTATTAATTAATTAGAGATGATGGGTTATGGGTATCGGTTATTTTAGTTTGTTTGATTTGTAAGCCAGGAACCAGAAACATCACTGTTCTACAGCGTCTAAAGCTGAAGAGTCCAGCTGTTTTTTTAACGTCTTCTAAGCTACAGGCTGTTGTATTTCACAAGTAACCTGATACTACTGTGGTATAGAATTCAGTAGCTTGCATACATGAGTAAGCAGTCAGTCAGAAGAGGAGAAAGCAAGCTGTTGTTCAGAGAACTGATAAAGTGACAGGGGAGATGGGAGGAATTCAGTGCTTGAACCTGTCCAATAACAGAAAGAAGCAAAAACTGTCCCAAAGTTATTTGCTCTGACCGAGAGGTTCCTCTGTTCCTAAATACGGTAACTAGGATGGCAAGCAAGCAAAAGCATTTTGAAGAAGGGACTCTGTATTCACTTAGAGCCATGGACTTACTGCAACATACTGATACTTCAACAAGAGCTGAAAAGGTGAAACTCTTGTCCACTTTCACTCAAAATAATACGGCTAGTTCATTTTGTGTTGGAGAGATGCAAACAAGTATGTTTATAACAAATCTGCAGATTTATAACAAATCTGCGGATGCAAGAATGGTGACAGCCATGTACACAAACTTTTTTTTATAGTCTTTAGACCCAGAAGGGATGGGAGGGAGAGGAAGTAGTAGCTTAAAATAACATCAGAAAGAACTACTGTTGCTGCATACGTGAGCTGTAGAACTTGCACTAGAAACCAGGGCCATTTCTGGTCTAGTAGAAAAATAATTTTTTCAGAATGTCCTTGTCTTAGTAAGGAGCTAACAAATATGTAGCATTTGAAAATTCTGCTTTTCTCACAAAATTCTTGAATTCATTCAGTACTGCAGAATACTGTATGCCAGGTGTTCTGTGAGCCTGTAGCTTAAGAAAGTGAAAACAACTCCTATCACAGAATTTTTATCATTGTTAAATCTCTTTGTAAGGAAATGTGACAGAACAAATAATCTTAACGGTGGATTATGCTTTAACCTTGCAGGCATTTTCTGATGCATTTTTTAGATGCTTGTGGATTAGTGAAGTGCTGCTACAGATGTAATGTTGCTATTAACATGTCACTAACACAGTAGTACAAGTTTTTAATTTTAACTGATGTAGCCAGAGCATCACAGTTACTAGCTGTTCTTACTATCGCAAGCAGAAGTATGGAATTTGACCACTATCTGTTGCATTACTGTTACTTTGCCAAGATTTATGCTCCACTGAACATCTGGGAAGGGTTGTTAGATGTAAGGAGGGAAAAATGTAGACTTCTTGTATTTACTTTTTTAAGTGCCTACTATAGTGGTTTGCACTGAATGGTATTTGTTGTTTGACATTTGGTAGGTCCTTACAGTTCCATATTAAGTGTCTCTTTAGTATTTGGAATAACTTTGCAAGCCTTAAAACAGTCAGGGTTCAGTGCACAGTATTATCTGATGTCAGTTTGGGTGCAGAAGTCTTAGAATGTTCTGAAAAAGTATAAAAGCGGTTGATAAAGCTCTCCAAACTTGTTGTATGGACTGGTAAGCATCCTTTGCTTAAACTACCTTCTCTGGAGCCTTTCCTAGTCAGAGGAAGATGTGAAGTATTTAGTTCTTGTGTAAAGTAATTTGCAACATAGTCACTTCTTAGAGTAGTCAAAATACAATCATGTAGAGGATGTATTACAGGTATATATTTTTGGCTGAGGTGAAAACATAACTGGACTGTTTTCTTTGTTTGTAGCTGGTACTCCTGGTTGATTAACAGTTTTGTTAATGGTAAGTCCCTTCTTATGCTTTTTTCCTATTCATATTTCTTTAAATGGAGGCCAAGACTCAAAAGTAGAAAATCAACACCTTAGCTGGATCAGTGTAATATAGAGCAATAACTTGAGTGTAAGTTCCAAAATTATCACAGTGGTTGAGAAAGGGAAAAGAATCAATCCAAAGTGGACAAAAGGATTAGATCTATCTTCTCTCTTTAGGAAAATGAGTGTAAATCTCTGATTGTGAAGGTATACTTGTGTGACGTACTCCAATTTGCATGTGTCTGCAAGTTTTCCATATTTTCTCTTCAGGAGTATATGCTTTTGGATTCCTGTTTATGCTGCCCCAGCTGTTTGTAAACTACAAGGTAAGATTAAGAAGGGACAAAAAGACTACTTTTTTAGTCTCTTCTTCCAGACTTTATTACAAATTGATATTTTTATTCCTAGATGAAATCTGTGGCACACTTACCATGGAAGGCTTTCACATACAAAGTAAGTAAAGCTCTAATTTAAAGATTGATGCAGTCATTTTAGAATTAATTTTCTGTAAGAAACTGCAATCTTAGTAATATGTAGTCTAAGACTAACAGTGCTTTTTTTTGTTTGAGCTAAACGTGTTTGCAGTTGTCCTTTAAAAAAAACTCCAAACAACCAAACATTCATTTCCATTTTTCATAATGACTTCTATATAATGAGAATGCTTGCATCATAGTTTTGGTGATAATACTGCTTTTTGTACTGTCGTCTGTCTTGCGTGGGTGCAAATGTTGGTCCTACAATTAAATTAATTCGTCTCAGTTTAATGAATTTTTCTAGGAAGAGAGAGATTATATCAACAAAGGATAGTTCCCAGGAAACAGCTAGGACCACTAAGTGACCTTACGTTGGCAGGTTCCAGGAGCTACCAGAACTGAAGTAATGTACACACTGTTCTGTGCTGGGGTGGTAATTCTGAGCTTCTGGGCAGTGTAGTGACAAATGTGTGGTGGGTTGTTAATGGTAGAAGAGGGGCTGCACTGTGGTGTCCCCACTGCCTAGACTGCCCTTGTGGGAAGTCATGCAGTGCTGTAACAGAGTTTAACACCAGACCTTGGAGGAGGAGAAGGTGAGTTTATCTCAAAAAAAACCCTTTGATACCTGCACACACACAAGCATCCACTTGGGTGTCCAGGTGGTTTGTATAGTATTCAGACACCAAGGCGGATGTGCCAGATATCCCAGTCAGGATGCCTTGCTCTGATACAGAGGACTGGGGACACCCACTGCTGAGTTCCTGTGTTTCCTACATTGTTCTCAATTGGCAACTACTTGCTAGTTTTGTTCTTGCACCCCTAAAGAGCTGATAGTGTTTTGACTCCATCCTTTCCCACCTCTGTGAGTCATTAGGATTTTTGCACTGTCCTTTGTTTTGCTGATCACTGTGTCCTGAGAAATCCTGGATGCATGTGCTGGGATCATCAAGACCTTGATGCCATCAACATGTGCCCTTTTTTGTTCTGCTTCCACTCATAAATGCTTTCATTTATTCTTCCTTTGTTTTGATGTATTACAATTCTCCAGAACATCAGTACTTTAAAAGAAACTGTGTTAAAAACTGCTCAAGACATGGTGTCCAATTCTGAACAGATGACCTGGGACCAAAGAACTAAAATCTTAAAATTTGAAGTGCCTTTTATAGCTTTTCCATTTTTGTGAGCCTACAGCAATAGCCCAACTTTTTGCTGCCTTAATATTTTTAAGGAATCAGGGGGCATCTAAGGCAACGGATTGAAATATAGCAGATAGAATAGCAACTAAAACAGTGTTCATTATGGAAATACAGTCAAAAATAATCATCTAGTGTTTCAGACATACTAGGTAAATCAGCAAGTTTCTTAATAGAGGGAAGTAAAAAGTCTATTAGTGAAGTAATTTCATAATTTTACTTCAGCAGCAACATAACTGAGCAGAGACATCAGCAGTTAAATAGACAACAAAGGGAGAGTATTCAAGCAAGTAACCTTTAAAGCAGTAGAATTCTCTTGCTGAATAGCCTTCTCTTACAGAGCACTTATGGTTCCTGTTAAGATGCCAAAGGTTACCCACAGCAGAGGCTTGTGTGTGTGGAAAGAAGTATATGATGTTTTTAATTATGTTTAACTTATTGGGCTTTGGAGTGGATAATTTACTTTTTCCTGGTGGATATTTAAAATTGCTTGCTCTCTTCTGCACTTTGAAGAGTGGAAAGAATAGTGTGAGGTCTCATCTGCTATTGTTTTTTTAGAGAGCTTTGTTTTTCCTTAATTTGAACTCTTTCCTGTTTTGGAAGACCTTGGCAAAAATGAAAATTACTCTTAACTTTTCAATTTCTGTAGTCTTTATGTCCTTTATACTTTTATGAGGAGTACCTTCAAATAAGGTAATCTCAAGAGAACACTAGCTAGACTAAATACTATTAGATGGGCTGCCTTGATGCATTTGGTTTCAGTGGCTTACAAGGACTGCCTGAGTGTCTGAAGGATGGAGTGTTTAGCTTTTTCTTCCTTTCATCACTCCCTTGGGTGTTGACTTGGAAAGGCTGCCTTCTCCAAGTTGCCAAGGTTTTTTTTTTTTGTTCCATGACAAACCTTCTTTGCACAGGCTTGATAATTGCCGTCCATGCTCTTTGATCACTTCAGATTGATGGATTTGTTTTGACTTGCCAGAAAGAGCTTTCCTGTTGTAATTAATCAGAACTCACTTCTGTTCAACACCCTCATCTTCTGCTGATGCTTTGTTTCGTCATATAAACATTGGTTCATTCTGAAAAGTGAGTCCTTCTCTGCTTAGAGAATACATCATTTTCCCCCTTCTTATGGTATGGATTAATGTAAGGCTTGCTAATATTGAAAGGAGAACCATGTAACTGATCCCATTTATTAACCCAACAGTTAATATTATTTGCTCCATTTGTTTCCTGCTGGTTTCAATGAATTGAAATAGTTCATTGCACCATACGAGTAGTAGAGCTTGGTGCATTGTAAGAGTTGATGTCTAGTCTTCCCTGTAGGCTAAAGCCAGATTCAGGGGAGTTGCTGTTCTGTTTACTTTTTTTACCTTCTCTGAGAAAATGGTGTTGCGTTTGCATGCTTGGAGCCTTTTTGCATTGCTTTCCCAGCAGATGTCTGGGAATTTAAACTTTCTCACTCAGGAAAAAGTAGTGAGAAAAGATTTCATTATTGCTTCAGAAACAGAACTTGTAATGTGCCTAGTTGAGTGGAAATGGTGTAGAAAATTATGCCTCGAATAAGGGATGGATGGTTACTTCCAGGAGAGCACTGAAAATGTTTTAAAATCTCTCCAGGGCTGTCAAGTTAATGTTCTTAAAAGCAGTAAATGAATAAGTTTTTACACAAATTTCAAATTCCCATAGAAAATTAGACTGAACGGACATTTTGTAAATCTTAAATCATTCGTGTAATGAATGAATTGAATAAGAGGTTTTTTCCAGTTTCTTTTAAAGATTTCACTGAAGTTGAATCCATGTTTTTCTGCTCAGACAACAATACTCTCACTTACCTGAAGTGGTCCTACTTCCTTTTTACTTGTAACTGTAATAGTGTGGTTTGTAGTAGACAGTACGGTCTTCATTAAAAGAAAGCACTTTAAAGTTCGCATTAATTAGTTTTTCAGCATAATCCTTAAGTATTGTTATAAATGTGGAAGTAGTCTGTGTTTCTATTGAAAAATACTGTTCTAGGAAGCCTGTTTCCTGTAACTTTGTATGACAGATTACTTCCTTTCTTCACAACCAACTGAAGTTTACTCTTTTTTTGTAGGCATTCAACACCTTTATTGATGATATATTTGCTTTTATCATCACTATGCCAACATCTCATAGGCTGGCGTGCTTTAGAGATGATGTTGTGTTCCTGGTCTATCTTTACCAAAGATGGTATGCCTTTCTTGAATATTCATCAGTGTTTTTACAATGCTGTAGATGGTTGCAGTCTTATTGCTATAAAGAACTATAGAATGGTTTTGGATAGACTTCAAGCAGAATTTTTATACCATAGTATTATATAGTATGGTCTGGATAGTGGTAGTTAGGTATATGCCTAGTGAAGGGAGTGGTGAGCAGGGGATCCTGAAAAGGACATCTCAGTACAAATAAGAAGAGCAAAAGCATTTTCCCATAACTGACAGTATTCCTGGACCCTTTTTAGCATGCTGAGAGGCTAGTCAAGAAATTCCTTTTCTCACGGCACTCACAGAATTTTTGTTACATTACCCTTTCTCCCTCCCCAGAACAGCAGTCGTCCTTTTCAGCAGCTAGTTTCACATTTGCAAGTTATTAAAAAAAAAAAACCACACAAAAAACAAAAAAAAAACCAAACAAACCCTGAGACATGAATACCTGAAGTAAGGTGAAGAGAGCAATTCTTAAGCTTGTATTCATAAACCCACTCAGGAGTTCTGGGCTTCTAACCCTTGCTGAGGGGCTGCATATCTATATATGCCCTGTATTTGAGGCATGCTTTCCAAGCTGCTCTTCAAGGCACTAGTGAAGGATGTTTTCTGGTTGCCCTGCTCTGCTTTCTCTTTATCTAGTTTCCAAACATAAGTTATCAAATTCTCTTGTAAGTTGAGTATCTGGCAAGTTTCGGATTCTTTAAGTAACTCAAATCAGATGGAGAAGATGGCTATGTGCAGTAATCATTGAAATATGTTCGTAAGTGAAGCTACAGAAGGTGTATTCTTGTTCCTAATAATAAATATTTATATATGGAGCAAACAAGAAATTTAACCCAAGTGCACATTATACCAGAATATATGAATGTGTACATCTAACTAATCATTAATACTAAATGCACACTTCATTTTTGAGGTTATATAATTGCACATAAGTGTAGTAAAATAGGTCTTCTTCCAAGGTATTTTTTGAGAAGTTAAGAGCTCAAAACTTCTGATAGGGTCTGGGTACTGGTTTCAAGTTTGAGAAGTATACTGGATTGCTTGAGAAATATTCCAGCAAAGCTTTAAGAGCTGTTAATATATCTCTTAAGAGGCCCTGTTATGAGACAACTGGTTAAGTCTTAATGTGAAGAAGCTGATGCATCTGTAGCCAATCTTAAGTGTTATGGGTTTTGTCACAAATGAGAATACAGAATATGATGAGAAAGAAACTCACTTTTCAATTTAATTAGCATAGAACTGCTTAATTCCTTCAGATAGCAGAAAATACTGTAACTACTCTTCTTTTTTTTTTTTTTTTTCTGCCAGGCTTTATCCTGTGGATAAGAGCAGAGTGAATGAGTATGGAGAATCTTACGAAGAAAAGCCCCACAAAAAAAGCTCATAGAGAATAACTAAGAATTGAAGAAGATTCTAACCCTTGGACTCTTACTAGCTTCATGTATTATCTGGTCTTAAGGAAGATAAAACTTATTTAATAAGAGTATTTTTAAAGCTTATGACAGATCTACACGGACAATACATCTTCTATATTGCCAAAATCTAGTTTTGATATCCTCCTATTTCAAGATCCTTTTTCATCCTCACAAGTTCCACAGTCTGCCAGATGTCATTAAATAAACATCCTGCATTTAATCTTCTCCTCAGTGAAAACCTGAGTGTCTTGACCCTTGTAATTAATATCCAAATCTATGTTTTTAAGACAACTCACTAGCTGAAAGTATGGTGCCTGTGCCACTGGGCTATGAAATATGAAAAAACAAGCCAGTGTGTTACAGCAGAATCGACATTATTGCCAGACTGGAGGCTATCAAAAAGAAAATGTATAATATTGGATTTTATGCTAATTACAAATCATTCTTGTTTGATAATGGAGATAATGGAAATTCTAGAAATCGTGATAAAAGTTGTAAATTGTGTGTGGGCATTTAAGTTCATAGCTTAAAAAAAAATGTTGGAAATATAGGATGAGACAGATGGGTTGTTAAAACAATTCAAATTCTGTCACATTCTTAGCCCACAACATGGCAGAGGGTTTCAGTTGTCTTAAACTGAATGATGATGTGAAAAAAAGGTAACATGATTTCTTTTAATATGTATCCAAGTTTATATAAAACCTTCAGCATTGTTGACAGACCTTCCGATTTCTTGGCATAGCAGGTATTCATATAATGCAAGTCATTGTTATGTGCTAGGAAAGTCTTTTAACCAATCTTAAATTCTTAATCATGTGGTACCCCAGTGACCTGCTTGGCCAATTCTCTCATGTTTCAAAGAGAATGATTCCTTGGTCTTTCTCCTCTTCTCCCTGCCCAGTTCTATTTGTAAGATAAAACACACAAGTGGAAAGATTTTACTCAAATACAGTACCAGTTAAACAAACTGCCTGGATACAGAGAAAAAAAACAGCCTGGTAAAAACCAGGTATTTTCCTTTTGCAGGATTTAAAATCCATATTCTGTGGGAACAATTCATTAAGGGAAATATTTTGATCTGTTTCTTTCAAATTATTAAAAATAACCATGTTGAATTATTATACCAAAATTCAAACTTCACAGCTGTATCTAGAAACCATGGGTCTAGATTTTTAAAAGCAAGTTTCTTAGTAACAGTGAGTAAAATACAGAGCGCATTCCTTTCAACAGCAAATAAAATGCAATTAAAAGAAAAATCCAAAAGGTGGAATCATAGTTTTCAATTTTAGTTTTGCTTTGGTCAGTAAGTTTACAAATTAACCCTAATGATTCTGAAGTTTCTTTATTAAATTGCATGTTGTTTGTGAAAGGCTATTTAACTTCAGTTTGTCATTGATTGAAAATATTAATTGAATAACCTTGAAGAGCACAGATCTACTCTTATAGTCTGTAACTTATGAAGCACATTTTATTCAGTTCTGATACTGCAGAAGTATGAATGTATAAATACTTGAGTCCCAAAAAGTTACAGAAATGTGTCTAACTTCTTTTGTCACAAACTATAGTCTGTCTTATACTGATAAGTTCCCCTTACATGCTACTGGCAACAGAAAGGAGTCTTGAAGTGAATATTTAACTCATGTTCATGTTAAGGTCTCTGTACACCCTTAAGTGGAATTAAGGAGGACCGTTGATTTTTAGCATTAAACATAAATAAGTCTATGCTCAACCGGGTTCACATTTGCTATATCTTGTACCTGTTCTGGATTTGTTTGGAAGGAGCTCTTTGCTGTTAGGCAAACTAATTTAGGACTCCATAATAATAGTTTAAGTGTGTGAAAATTTTTCCTGATACAAATAATGCATATAGCAGATTCCCTTTTTGTGCCATTTCAAAACAATCAAGTTACTGGTTCTTTTAAAATAACTTCTGAAAGTCCAGAACACCATATTTGGGAATTTCTAATGTTTCATCACTCATTTTTGTATGTAGCTGTTGAAAAATCACTCTTGCACCCTTACATACTTGATCTTCTGTCTTGCATTTCTGATGACAATGACCTCCTAATATGCTATACAGTAGTCACAAAGAATATAAAATTAGGACATTTTAAGTCTTTAAAATGAGCAAGACTTTCCTATTCAAGTCATTGTTTTATGTGTTCCATTTACAAATAAAAGACTTGGCATATAGGATAGAGATTTACCTTTTGTTGTTGGAAAGAAGAGCGGTGAAAAACTATGTAAGTACTGTAACTTTGGAGATATTAAATGAAATATTTTAATTTTCTAGTTGTGAAAATGACATCAGCTTAAAACAAAAATGTGGTTCTGCATGCAGTTAATGCAGAAGAAAAACATAAAATTCCGTTGAATGTATTGTACCTCCTCCTAGACTATCAGTATCTGATTTAAGAGTGGGAGAGTAACTTAACTTGCCCACTTCTAATAATGTTAACTGTGGTAAACACTAGGGGATCATCTCACATTCTTATCTTCATTAAGCTTGTAATGGATCTGGAAGTTAAAAGATTACAGTGATATGGGGTTGGGGGTGGGGCTGGGGCTGTTCTAGAGCTAATTGGGAAAATCATCATATGCTTCTGGAAGACACTTGCACAGCACTTAACTAGTGCATAGTAGCATAGCAATCGTGATTCTCTGAGGGCAGAAGCGAGGAAGAGCAGCTGGCTTGACTCCTTCTGGGGGCGTACGTGGCCAGTGGCTCAGTGCTTTTCCCCCCAACTTCCTGTTTAGCAGTACTTTGTCCTTTTGGTCCATACTGTATGGTACCCATAAATCCTGCAAGATGTTTTGGGTATAGTATGTACCAGCCTCTCAAGTTCTGGCCCCTAATGTTCTCCTCAGTCATTCACAGCTCCACAATCCTTATTAAGACAGAGCTCTTTAATGGTTGCCTTTATGATGATTGGTCTTCCTTCTAGTCTTGCACACCTGCAAAGGCTCAGGGGCTATCTTACTCTTGTTTTGGACTTTGAAGAGGTCACTGAACGTTGTTCTTAAGCATTAATTACCTTTAGCAGTCTCTCACTGCAGGTTAGTCTGTGTTGAGCAGCCTGAAGCCAGGTTCATCTGCATGCTCTGGTCCAGCTAACCACCTGGCCACTGAAGCAAGAGCCTTTAGGCATATATTTGGGCATCTCAGCTATGCTCTTCACTCCATTCAGAACACCAGGCCTGGCACAGCTCCCACTTAGTGCTGTGTCATGCTCCATGCCTGGCTGATGGCCAGCAAACAGCAGCTATCCAGCACGTTTTGCCTCCTCACTGCCCTGCAACCTCCCATCTTCATCACCTGCAAGCTTCATCTCTAAGAGCTGTCATAGATACCTTGCTTGGACTGACTTCCCCAGGATCTACTGGAGTATAGCCTCTACTTTTCCAACTGGATTTAGCAATTTACATTTTCCCAGCTTCATTTGCCCAGTGCTGACCATGAGAACAGAAGGGAATAAGCAATATTTCATTTGGTAAAACCAACAAACCCTTCACAATTTTGCTTGAGAAAAAGGTGGTTAGCCTCACCCTCTCTGCCATCCCAGAAGTTATTACAAAGATACATAGGAGAAAAACAAAACAAAACTAAAAGCCTCGAACCAAGAAACTGCTAGCTCAGATTTTCATAAACTTGGGGATCTCGGAAGATTAGCGTCAATGGACCATACAATCTGAAAAAAAGCCCAGTCACAGACGTTGACTCTGTTATCCTTGGAACACCGTAAGCATTATCTGCAGCCTCCTACAGGCTACCCCGCTCCTCTTTAGCTATGCCAGATGTGCAAGGATTGCAGTACATTATGAATCTGTTGGTTTATTATCAAAAACCTCCACTGAACAGCAGTTCAAAAAGCAGACTTGAAGATACAAGGCTCTGCGAGCATCCATGTCCTTTACGACTGCTTTCATCAACCTGTTACATCACAGAATTAGAATTTCAATAAATAGCTTACAAAAAGGGGAACAGAAGCACATTCATCTCTTTTGGTGATGGGAGACAGAAAAAAGAAGAAAGCATTCTTTGGTTATGCTGTGGTTTTAAATGTTTGGTTATAAATACCTCTAGCTGGAGTGCCAAAGAAGTACCTTAGACTTTCAGGTTTTCTATCCCAAAAATTCTAAAAGGTCTGGGGTCTTCTCCTATTAATCAACTACAGCCATTCTCAGTCTGCAGTAATGTTTTTCTAAAAAAAGCTGCTCTTTTCTGCTGATCTCTGCATTTCTAAAGGAAGCAGAGTCTGACTGAAAGTCTCCCAGTGACAAAGGCTAATTTAGTTCATACACAAAACAGGTATTTCATTCTGCTGAAGATCTGACCAACTAAAGGAACTGTTCTTACATTCAGCTACCAGCAAAATCATATATTTTTCTTCTTTCGGATTACTCTTCCCCAACATCTTTTTCCCAGGTTAAATGTAGTTCCATAGTTCTTTCTTGGGAATGTATCCTGGCATTGCAGTACTGAGGCAAAGCTCTGAAGGACTCAGCAGAGAGTTGAAAGGATACTTCCTTCTCTACTGAAGTTGCCAACTCCCAGGTCTTTTTAAGGGTCAAGCTGAAAATTTCTTATCCAAATGGACCATCTTCAAAGTGAGATAGTAACATTTAGGTTCGCCAATGCCAAGAGTCAATGCCAAGAAAAGTGCATTGTTTATAGGAGCAGAATTAGATTCTTCAGTATGCAGAGCTTTTCTACCACTGGACCATTTCTGGACACTACTAAAGTTTAGAGCATGTGGACACTCATTCTACTACCACAGGGGCAGGACTTGCTTAACTTTGGGCTGTTGAGCAGCCTACACTCCTGATCAACATCACCTCTACATTGCCAGCAGATTTCCCGTCCCTTTCAGTACAGGAAGAGGACTGCTTTTGGATTAACCTTTTACTACTGCAGACTGCAATCCCATAGTAAAAAAAACCAAAACCATGAGGTGTAATGTATTAAGTAAACAAAAAAATTTAGGGAGCCAACGGTACACATATTTTCTGCTCTCCCTTTCTCATGTCACAAGGTCATAGATGCTGCACTTCAGCAGAGTAAATTTAGATGCAAACTGGTGGATAATTAAGGCATCTTCAGCGCTAAAGTAGCAGTCAAAGTCTGAGAGCAACTGGACAAACCACACCTGGGCTATGAAGAGATCTGTGCCAGAGCGTGTAAGTTTGTGTGGTGGTCTCAACATTTATGAGTCTTATCTACATGTCAGCATGCTGTGAGCTTCCAGAAAGTAGTAATTCAGTAGGACTGAACCCATGGTGTTGTGGTTTAACCTTGGCTAGCAACTTAGCACCACACAGCTGCTCAGTCACTCCCCCTCCCTCGTGGGACTGGGAGGGAATCAGGAGGGTAAAAGTGAGGAAGAAATCTCGTGGGTTGAGCTAAAAACAGTTTACTAATTAAAACAAAATAATAATTTCAAAATAAAATTGTAGGAAAAACATTAATGAAAGAGAGAGAGGGGAGTAAAACCCAAGAAAGACAAGTGATGCAAATTAAAACAACTGCTCACCACCAACTGACTGATGCCCTGGCAGTCCCCAGGCAGCAGCCCCCCGCACCAACCTTCCCCTCAGTTTTATTGCTGAGCATGACATCATACAGTATGGAATATCCCTTTGGTCAGGTGGGGTCAGCTGTCCTGACTGTGTCCCCTCCCAACTCCTTGTGCACCCCCAGCCTACTTGCTGGTGGGGCAGCCTGAGGAGCAGAAAAGGCTGTGTAAAGCACTGCTCCACAGTAACTAGAACATTAGTGTGTTATCAATACTATTTTCAGCACAAATCCAAAACACAGTCTCATGCCAACTACTATGAAGAAACAGAACGCTAATCCACCCAAAACCAGCACACACAGAAAATTAATTTCCCCTCAAATTCTCTAATACTGAAAGGCAGTGTGAAACGTGAGGAAGAGCAGAGTATGATTCACTTGGGCATGGCTGGCTGTCAGCCAAGAGACTGA